AACAAAGAATAAGAGCGTGATATGTATTTAATGATCATAACTTAAATGCATGTGAATAACTACATTTTTTTCTCTAGTGCTTCCTATGGGGCCAGAAACTGTGCTTAGCATTTTCTGTGTAATAACATTTGATCCTCACAACAACTCTACTGAGGTAGTTGCTAATATAAACCTGTATCTTACATGCAAGAAACTAAGGCATGAAGAGGTTAAGTAACTTGCCCAAGGTCATGGCTGGCCAAATAGAGCAACCAGGTTTAGATTCCAGGCAGCCTGGCCCCAAAGCCTGTGGTTGTTCCCTCTGCCTCCTGACTGCCTCCTTTCTGTGGTGTCAACCTACTAACAGGAGACTGGCTAGCCACAGTCACAGAGGAAGGGAGCATCTGAGGGGCGGTTCATCTGACTCTGTCCCCAGAGAGGAAGCCGTGGTCCAGAAACATGGCATCAGGTCTCAGGATGGGAGCAGCCTACAGTGGCGATAGGTCCTCAGCTGATGCTTCTCAGTGATACCAGGACTGTCCAAGATTGCCCTGGTCTCGAGACTGCCAGGCAACCTTCCAAGGAAGACTTGGCCTCGGGAAGCTTATGTGTGTCAGTGAACACTAGTGGCCTGGGATTTAGATTCTCACCCAATTTTCTCCATCTATCTTCAGAGCCCAGTGAGTGTGACTATTGCCCTGGGAAACAGCCCCAACTCTTGAGGCTGACAAATCTGGGTTCTGAGCCCCAAAGCCCAGGGATGGAGGGCTGGGTCAAGCACACAAAGTAACACCTCTATGTGGGATCCCCAGGAGATGCTCACTGTCAGATCAAAGCCACAACGGCAGCTTCCATTACTCACTAGGCACTGTGTTAGGCACTCTCCTGTAGGCCTCTCTGCCGGCTATCCATGAGCTCATCGCTCTTACCAGGGGCAATTCTATTTCAAGTGACCCAAATCCAGAGCCACAGGACATGTCCACTTCTCCCAGGGACAATTCTGCCTCTGAACATGGATTTGAGGTCTAGGAAGGAGACGCTTTCTAGATCCAAGAGGCCTCCAAAGGCAAACAGGGATTTGGACCAACAGGGAGCCAGGGACTCAAAGGGGACTAGGTGCCTTCAGGGGGCAAGGAGAACCCGTATGTGTGTGGAAAATGAGACTTTGTGGAAGCTTCAAGGGCCCAGGACCAGGATGACGAGAGGAACCACGGTGACAGCCCACATAACTAGCAGAACGCCCCAAGATGTCAAGTCAGTTAAGGACTGAGATGTGGCTCCGGGCTCTGGGAAAGCATCTGCGACTGATTAGTGATGTCAGCCCAAGGGCTGAGGACAATGGGAGCCTCATGTCTGACTCTGTGACCTCAGCTGAGGGACTGTGTCTCATTCCCTCTCAGTTCTAAAGCAGAGTGTGAGAGAAAGCTAGCAGCCGAGCAGTCAGGAGCCCCTTATTCATGAGGCCAAAATCCTCGTTTATCAGGAGGCGCTCTTAGCAAGTGCTTTTTCTGGCTCTCCACGTAAAAGCCTTTGAGCAGCTCAGCTGGGAAGCCTCTTGTCTGACCCCTTACCTGGACCCAGTGAGCTCAGAGGGATCCTTTTTAGGGTCCTTTTTTAGGGGCTGCTCCAAAGCTCAGCCCTTCCTGGGCTCTTCTGCCCCCTCCAACCATGACCTGCACCCCTCACGGGACAGGAAGGCTCCCCGCACCCCACTTGCGCCCTGGTTCCCGCCTCATCTGCATTTAACACCCCTTGTTGGGCTGCGGCAGAGAATACTCAACAGACTCATATTAAAAATGCCCTTTAAAATTCAAAAGCTTTGAACTCAAGAAATATCTCGAGAAGTTTTCATGGAAAGTTCAGCTGCACGGGTTCAATTCACTACACTTAGATGCACCTTTTCAAATAATAGGGAAAAAATGTAACAGGGTCAGACCCAATCAATATGCTTGTTCAAACAGAATTGCAGGGACTGTGATGTGCACACATTTTGTACTCTGCCTTTGTACCCTGCCACTCGCTCTGAAGAAAGGTTTCTTTGCTCGGAGATCAATGAAAGTGATAGCCTTTGGAGTGGAGGCGGCAAAGCGATGGCGTGTTTACTGGGCTGGGAGGGCCTGCCATTTTTTCAGAGCCCCCCAGCCCTGTCTCTTTGTTCTTTTCATAATGGCACGAAACCCACATGGGCAAAGCCCCTTGTGCACCCTGGCGTCTGATGCTGAATCAGAAGCAAGGGGCTCCCAGAATTTGCCTACCATGTCTCAGAAATGTGATTTGTGGATTAGACAAATAATTTGCTGCTTCTTTCCCACCTTTGGTGCGAACACAAAAGGACTTGCCATGGAGGACTATACCCACGGGCAGAAGAAAATTCCAAAGCCCAAAATGGGCTCTTGCTGGGCTGAGCCAGAGTCCACACCCACCCCCACCCCTGCCATTCTCAGACTGACTTTGGGGAGACAGAGGTTTCCCTGGGCTTGGGCTGCAATCTATAATAGCCAGGAAAATTCTAGAGAATCCAGTGTAACTGAAAACCACAGCCAAGGGGTTAGAGGGAAGCAAACAGACTCAGGGAAGTTTCTACTCTCACAGCCCGCCATGAAGGCAGGCAGAAAAGTGGATGATGGGGAGCAAACAAAAGGTTTTCAGCATCTCCACCAGTCTGGGGACCTCTACTTCACATGCACTCAGAAATGCAGGTGCATCTCAGCTTGTATCACTGAAACAATGCCCTGGACATGTTGAAGACCTGGGCAGTTCAGGAAGCTAAAGTGGCAATTATCCCTATCCCCCACTGCAGACGAGATCCTAAAGTGTTCCCATCTGTTCTTGCTAAAATTAGACAGACATCTTGGGCTCAACCCAGCCCAGGTTAAAAGTTACAGCTTGGGAGGGGAATGTCGCAAATGGATGCAGGAGCAGCGAGCTCACATTTGTCAACCATGATCCCATTGTTCACAACTCTGCTCAGAAAAAGATAAATAAAAACCAATCAATCCATCAAACTCTGCTCGGGCCCTGTGCCCCTGTTAAGGAGCAAAGCTGGAATCGCTAGGCCACGCGGGGTTTTCCAGGTCCCCACCTGGAAGGTCCCCAGTCGGCGCGTACTTTCACAGACGGCCCCATCTTACCTCAAGTAAGGAATCCTCTTGACTGGGTTGAGAAGGGGGCCGGGCTCTGCTGCCCACTTACACGTCGTGGCGGCAGCAGGCCTCTTCCAAAACACACGCGCTCTTCCTGGAGTCTGAGTTGAGAGCCTGTCATGCTCTCTGCAGACTGAAGTTTGGGTCACAGTTCTTACAGAAGAGGCTAACCTTCTCCTGGCTGGAGGTGGAGAGAACAGAGAGCCGCCACCTTCTCTCCTACATGGGATTGTATGTGCGAAACAGAAACTGAGACCAACAGTAAGAAGAAAACCGCAGACACGTTTTTGCTGAAAAAGGTCTATGTCTACTGATGGCCACTGTGTGTAGGGGAGTATTGGTTCCTGTATCTTCTTTTTCTTTATTTTTTAACTTTTGTACTGCATTATTGAGGAATATCTGCTCTTCCATGCCCCCCACCCCCCCGCCCAAATCTCTTTCATCTGTTATGGAGAGATCTTCAAGTAACGCTTAAAACCAGGGAGTTTTTTTAATTTTAAAATTCAAAAAGAGATCGGTAGCTAAAAAAGCAGCAGTGTTCCCTGCTCAGAATGCCCTGGAACCTATTCTCCCCAGTATTAATAGTTGGAAAGTCACTCTAAACCTTGGGTACTCTTCTTGGCAATAAAGAAAAACTGCCATAACAACAAACTTGGAAATAGACACATACCCAAGCTGAACTGGCCTCTTGGCTTCTGTTTTAAGCCTACATAACAAGTCAAAATGAATTAAATACAAATCAAGTTTGCAATGGTCCGTCACTAACCCGCCTCCCTGGAACGAGCTGGCGGCGTGTGGGTTGGAAAGGGCCCCCGGGCGTCCCTCCTGCTGTCCTGGATTGCAGTCTGCTCGCCAGACCAACCCCACTCGGCGGTCCACAGCCCAGAGGCCCCTCAACTGGGGTGTTGGGGGGAACCACTGTGAGCAGCAGCTGAAGCCTCACTAAGGACCCAAAAGCACAGGCCTTCTTCACCCAGGCCTCCAAAGTCAATCAAGTGTCAAGGAACTGTCAGCAGGAGAAACTTTTCATAAGTGAACACAAGCAAGATCGAGAGCTGACACTGGGGATTTTCCAAAGAAATGGAAAAAAACTAAGGCCACTCATGAGGATAGAGCCGGCAAGAAGCAGAAAGCGTATCAGGTTAATATTTTAATCTGTACATCACATTTTTTTTTTGCAAACCATTACACTTTTATTTAAATTAACTTTTTCTTGCAAAATATTCATTTCATTTTTCCAACAAAATCTTATAAAGGCAAAAATAAAATCTTATTTTGGCAAATGTCATGAAGTTGATACTGGCAGCATATGGAGTTAGTTAAAAATAGACAGCAATTTCTAAATATAGTTAAGATTTTTTTTTTTTTCCGACCATAGTCAAAGACAAATTTTCATTTTAAAGTGTGGCCCCACCCAATGGAGGTTTTGTTTTTTGTTTTTTGTTTTTTCCTTAAAACATCATTTTCTGTATGCAAAATATCATGAGCTCATGACTTAAATAAAGGGCCACAAACACTGCTCCTGACTTGGCAGCCCCCTCCTCACTTGAGACTGGAAGTCAAGTCCAAATCCTGCCGCCGTCCATCAGGGATGCTGGGGGCACACGGCCTGACCTCTGGCCACCAGGCCCATATCATGGGGAAACTGACCTAGGTTCTCCAGGGCAGGCAGCAAAGTCCTGTCACAGCCTAGTGTGGAGTCAGGGAGTTTTAGGGAGACACCACCCAGTGTGAAGTTTATTGCTTATGATACAATAAAAGGTGCTTCCTCTCACCTTTTCTGTATTTCAAAGGGTACATATATATATATATATATATACACACACACACACACACACACACACACACACATATATATATATATATATTTTTTTTTTTTTTTTTTTTTTAATTAAAGCAAACTGTTCTGTTTTTCTTAAGAGAGCCCTTTGCTGAGAGAGCCTCATGAACAGGTTGGGAGCCAAACCTCTTGAATATACCACTGCCCCTAAACCAAACCCAAGGGCCAAGGCACAGGCTTGGGCTCCACATGGCAGCCTGCTGGAGTTTCCCCTCCAGAGCCAGTCATCTGGCCAGGTCAGGGACAGCTAACCTCTGCGGCTAAGGAGCCCTCTTCCCCCAGATAGTATGCCAACGAGCCCAACGCCGGGCCCCCCTGGAAGCACATGTCAAATCCAACCTTCACCTGAGTTCATGGATGTTGGACTGGACCCTGCCTGCCCTGCCCTTCTCCGCAACCCACACCTACCATGCACACAGTACCTGAATCTGTAGGTGCAGCTCCAAAATCCTGCATCCTCCCCTTTCCAGCCACTCAGCCCTTGAGGTGAACATTATAAAATATATTCTGAGTCTAAAATACAGCATCAGTATTTTACAGTGTGTATCAAAAGTGCCTTTGTCATATGTAAAAAGGAGTCTGAACTAAAACAAGTTGAGGGGAGGGTTGTTAGGACCTAGCCCTATGCTGAACTCCCCACAGTTGGTGGACCACTCCTTCTTCCAGCCGGAACCCCTGCTGAGCTGGAAGGGGGTTTCCTTGGGGGAAGGAAGATCAATCTTCTTGGATGAAACTGGTTCCACGGGGTCCCCAGCTCCAGACTTCTCCTTTGCACGTTGGGTCATGGGTCAGTCACTGCCTGGGCTGGCAAAAAGCACAGGACACAATAAGAGGCTGGCAGGACCCCAGCCCACATCTGGGGAGCAGACAGTGGGCATGTCTGTATACGCACACAACAGGGAATGGAAGGATGACAAGACAGAGAGCAGCTGAGCAGGGGGCTGGGGCGATGCGGCCGCTGCTGGGGGACCCTCAGCTTTTAGGACCCATGGGCATTCAGCTCCACCCTTTCTTCACCCCTTCCACGTCTAGAAAGTTTTGCCAGACATATGTTGGCCCCTAGATTGGGTCTCTGTTCTGATAAGGCAAAAGTCCTGAGCAAAGAGGACTCCGGGGTCTAGTTCTGGCCCTGCTCTTCATTCACTGAGTGACTCTGAGTAACGCTTGCTCTCAGTCTCCATGAGTCTCATTTTATTAACCTAAAAGCAGAATGGTCATACCCACCTCCTAATGAGGATCTACCCTAACAGGAGGGCAAACAGGAATGTGGATGCACTCTGAAACAAGGCATTAAAGGCCTATCTCACAACTACAGGGGTGTCAAAAGCCAGGAGGAACAGGGCCTCACCCCTGCCTCTTCGTGGCCTGGCATGGGCCACATGTGGCATGTAGCATGGCATCACCACACTCAGATCTCCAGGAGAAATCCACACACCCTACTGTGGCCCCAACAGGTCCCTGTGACCTTGACAAAGGATGTGGCTGGAGCATTTCTCTGTGGTTCTTTGCTCACTTTCTAAGGGCCTGGCCCAAGCCGGACAACCTCTTCCTTCTACCCTCAGGCTGGCAGGGCATCAGGCTGGGGGACACCTGCTGAAAATCACGAACCCCACCCCCAATGCACACACTCTCTGTCCCTCCCTTCTCCAGACACCCAGAGCTCCTGGGGGTGCCCAGATGAGTCCACGGTAGTGATAGGGAACAAAGGCTCTGAACTCGCACCATAGGGGTTCAAACCCTGGCTCTGACACTTAGAGCTTCAACTCCTTGGGCAAGTCCCTCAAGGTCTCTGAGCTCCATTTCCTCCCCTGTACAATGGGGGCGAATGTCTTCATAAGGTGGTTGTGTGGATCAAAGGAGAGGCTTAGCACAATGCCTGGCACATAGCAAGTACGCAACCACGCTACCCCGAAGTACACACAAAGGAAAGAGAGGGAAACCCTACAAAACGATGGCAAGATGAAATGTCACGGAGAGGACCACTGAGACTTCTGGTATGACCATCCCTTGTCCAGGTGAGGCAACTGGGCTCAGACCACGAACTCACCCCAAGACTGGTCCAGACGCTGGGCCTCCTGGCTCCTGCTCCAGTGCTCCTTGCCTAATCCCTCCCTGCCTCTCATCACTAAATGCTCTCATGGGGAGGCCCCACAAGGGGTGGTACCAGAACATTCTTGAATGCCAAGGTGCCCTGGTGGCCTCCCCCCAAAGCTTCCCTTCTTCTCCCCCTCCTAAGTGCTCAAGTGCTGAAAAGGGCAGTCCTAGTCCTTGCTCTGACACCAATTCCATTTGGCCTAGAGTGAGCCTCTATCTCCTCACGGCCCCAGTATCCTGGATTTTTCTAGTCTTCCAGCTTTTCACATTCTCTGGCCAGAGCCCTGAGAGCCTGAGACTAACTTCCACCCCCAAGCTGGCAGCCTGGCCTGCACTGGTTCCTCGGGGCACTGGACTCCCTGCAGGAAACAGAGCTGGGGAGAAGGGGTATAGCTCCTGCTTCTATTTCAGGGAAGCAGGGGGCCTGGATCACCCAGCCCCTACTGTAGCGAAGCCACTGAGAGTTGAGCTCCTAAAAACCCACCATCCCCCACCCGCCCACCAGTCCAGGGCAGTCTCCCCAGCGGCGGCTTTGCCAGCGGAAGGAAGGAAGCAGGTGGCACTGCAGTCATCTTGGCGGCGGGGCGGGGGGCATGCTCAGAGCTAGGGGAGAGGCAGGCCAGGCAGGGCTCTTACTTGGAAGGTGTTAGACAAAGGTGTAGTGGAGTCCGTTGCTTAAGGGGGGGGTAGGGTGGCACCGTCCTGGAGGACAGGGGGGCGTTAGGCGGGAGGAGGGCCAGCTGCTGCGCTAGACGGGCACACAGGAATTAAGCGGGGCGTTAGGCTCCTCATCTGCTCCTGCAGCACCAGATGCCCCAGGCTCGGCAGGGCTGGAGGGGCGTGGGCCACATTGCCTGTCACTAACAGCCTGGGCACATGGGGCCTGGGCGGGCCTGGTTGGGACAGGCTTGCAGGTCCCAGATACTACCTCTGAGCTAGAGAGAGGGAGCAAGAGCAAGGAAAGGCTGTGGCAAAGGTGGCCACTTGTGGAGAGGGGCGGGAGGCCCTGCTAACTGCCCTCAGGGTGCATGAGCCCTGGCAGGCTTGCCTGCCAGCCAAAGGAAGCTGAGCTCCATGTAGGTAGGGCAAGCACAGGCCAGACAAGAGGACACCTATGTGGGGGTGGGGCAGTATCCCTGCTCAACATGGAAAGGAGTCAAAATGACCCACAGGGAGCCCCCAGGATCACTGGGAGGAGGGGTCTGGGTGAGTCTTCAACTGTCTCCCCGGCCACACCAACTACCTCTCAGTCCACTTAGCAGTCTCCAAAGGAGTGAGGACAGCAGGGGCTACAGGGACTCTGTGCAGGATCACAACATGGCGGGGGCGGGGGCGGGCAGAAAACAGCCTTCCTCTTGTCCAAGGTCACTCCCCTGGCTTCTTGAAGCGATGTTCAAGCTCTCCTCCCCAGACCAGACTTCCAGGGCCAGTCCCCTCGGTCCAGCAGGCCCCACCCTTCATCACTTCCAGACCTTTGGCCAGGGTTGGGGGCCTGGGGGACTGTGACAGCACTTCAGGATCTATGGTCACGCCCTCTCCGGAAGGCCTAGAGCACACCTGGCCACGGGCGCTACCCAGACACACAGTGGCCCCTACATCAGGGGGACAAATAGCACTGGGTCAACTCGGAGGGCACACACGGGGAGCGGAGATGTGGGTGGAGGGAGGAGCCACAAGTCTGTTTCCCGGCTGAGAGAGAAAGCCTTGTACACACACACACATACATACACGTGTGCACATGCACACAGACCCCCTTCCCATCCCATGGTGTTTTTTCCCCACTGGCCAGCAAAGAATCCCACTTCCCAAGTCCTGGTTACTAGCAGAGGCCATTCTGACAAAGCAAACAGTGGCTTTGATTTGGGGGCCAAAGCAGGGGTCCCAGGGAGGGCTCAAGGGTTCCCCTTTGCCTTGCCCCAGCAAGAAATCCAAACACCAATGCTTTCCAGTCCCCCTTCTTGTGAAGCCAGAAACCTTAGCCTTGGCCCTATCTCAGGGGCCTGAAAAACCTATTCTTAACCCACATTCTCAGAGAAAGCTGAAAAGCAGCATCACTCCCAGATTTAAGGAGGAGCTTGAGACACCCTCTCCTGGACCTCTAGCCTCTGACACTCCTGAACCTCAGTTCTCCCACCACCCGCCCCGCCGCAGCTCACCTCCCAAACCCTGGAGTGCTGATGGGACTGGAGGACATGCCACTCGCCCGCAACTACCACGCCTGACAGCTGGCTCTCCGCACATTCCCTGACAGGCCATGCTGGGCGCTGAGCCCAAGCAGGGCTGGAGGCTGGCACCCTCGGCCTCACCTGCCACCTGCTTGCCGCGCTGGGAGGCCTCAGAGGCCAGCGCGTAGGAGATGTTGATGATGCGTTCCTGCTCCTGCAGCTGCACGTCCAGGTCGGCCGCGCTGTTCCGATCCCGGCCCGATGGCGGCTGCAGGTTGCACATGCTGCAGGAGGGCCAGAAAGCAGGCTATGGGCCCTCCCCACCCCGCCATCTGCCCCAGGACAGGAGGGTCTCCGTGGCCTAGAGGCTCTCGCCCTTTTAGGGGGCATCGGATAAACACAGAGCACGCTCTCCCTAGACAAAGGCGTATGTGCTTCTCCCAAACACCCAGCCGCAGCTTTGTTCCTCCTCTGGGGGATCACGGCCTTAAGAAGAGAGTTCCAGCTCTGCATTCCTATTAAATCCTAACATGAAAAGGCTAACCCAACTCTGAAAGAGAGGCCCTCCAATACCACGTTTAGGTTTCTGAAGCTCAGGGGCTGAGGAGATAGGAAAGCCTCCCGTCCTGGCCTCCCGGGAAGTGGGCAAGGCCTCCGGCTGAGCCCCTGACTCTGGTCTAGGGATCTGTGTGAGGAAACACAGGCCCCAACACCGGACCACCCGCCTTGGGGTTGATCTCCAGCTGCATCCACCTCACTGTCACACTTGGCTCCACTCCCTATATTGGCCAGCATCATAAGACACAGATCTGGGGGCAAAGGACCAGGGCGGCCCTCTATTGCGTATTTCAGGATTGCAGATGACCTGGCAAGCCTCCTCATGGACCCGCTGGTGCCATTCTGAGAGCCAGCCTGCCCTTTGCAATAAATAGGGCTTACGTGAGTCAGAGACCTGGCAAAACACACACCCTAGTCAGCCCGGCCTAGGTCCCAGGTAGTAGAGACACCCCTGGGGTCGGCCTAGCAGGCTGTCAAGACTCGAGCATCATAAACGCTGACCTGGAACGAGCAAGGATGTTGCGGATCTTCTCAGCTTTGCGATACCGCGCCTGCAGCTCCTCAATGCTGGGTGGCTCCTCAGGGTCCAGCTCCACGTAACGCTCAGGGATGGAGACCTTCTCTGGTTTGGCCAGCTGAGGAAAGGACCAGGTGGCGGCGGCAGGGGGGCTCAGATACTGGGCTTAGAACTTGCTCCTCGCCCTGTCCCCCAGCACAAGGCAGCACATGGAGCCCACAGAGCTACATAATGTGCCAAGATCAAGGGCAGTCCACTGTGGAGTCGGGATCAGAACTGTGTTCTTTCCACCACACCAGACAACCTCCTTCGGGCCAAGGGATGGTGGGGAAAGGCAAGACAGCGAGACCGGAAGCTCTCAGGATAAAATGATTATCCTTAATGCCGCCTTCGACAGGAGCTGAGCCCTGCCAACCTCCACAACCACACTGATCCACCACGTGGCCTCTGCCCCCGCACTCTCCTCCACATGGGATGCTCTTCTGTTCGCTCCCCTCCTTCTGACCCTTCGGACCTCACTTCCAGAAGTCTTCCCTGCCCCTCCCCACCCCACCCCACCCCTGGTATCCCGTCCTGTTTTCTGTTTGTCTCTCTGCTGTCAAGTGCAGGGACCTGACAGCCAATAGCCCTTCAGCAAACACTCCTCGGATGGGTAGATGGTTGTGTAGAGAGATGCGTGGTTGGGTGGGTGGACGAAAGGAAGCGATAATGCTTTCTGTTCCTCAGAAGCTCCTCTGCTCTAGACAGTAAGCAGCCATGCAGTATCCACTGGTCGCAAGAGGACAATGTCCCCAGCTCCCCCCACCAGTCTCTGACGTGAGCCCAGCAGCAACCTCAGCCTGGTGACACCCTACTTAGACTCAGAATGATAAAGGCAACTTTTGCATGCCCCAGGGAATTTCTTCCTCCTTGAACTACAAAAGCACATTAAAATGAGGTTGGTTGAAGTTTCTAAAAACAAGCTAAATCCAATCCCAGGACAGATCTGGACTTGAATTTAAACCCATGCAGACCCTTCATTCTGGTGAAAGATGGCAAGAAATAAGCTCTTCTCTGTTATTTCCAATGAGGGCAGATCCAGAGGAAGGAAGTAGATTACATTGTAGCAGGAGGGATTTAGGTTATAGATAAGAAAGGACTTTTTCCCCTGGCTGGCAGGCCAATCAGAACACCATGAAGCATACTTGCATTGCCAAGACAGCAGGGAGAAGCTTCTTGGGAGAATCTGAGAAAGCACAGACCTTTGGTTGTTGCAGAGGTGCCAAAGGGAGAAAGTCTGAGGGCGGGGGACCGGCTTTCTTAACCTCTGGAGCCCCAGCTGGCCCCAGAACTCGGCAACTCCATAGATGTCAATTTGCTACATCTAGCCTTCAAGTGGTGAGAACATTTCCTCTCATGCAGTTTCAGGGCACACCAAGTCCTCTTATAAATATTTGTGGGGTATCTGTGGGCCCCTGTGTACTTGATTCAACAGAACTGTCACCCAGAAAATATTGACAGAGCACCTACTATGCGCCAGGCTCTATGTTGGGCACTAAGAGCACAGAAGTGAACCAAACAGCCATAGGCACTGTTCTACAGAGCTTACAAACAGCACAGTATGCCACAGGAGACCTCCCCATGTCATGAAGACCCTGAATCTGTCCCACTTTAATTCCTTGCTCTTCCCTTGGGTAAGACACATTCCTCAATGACAGAAGACCCAGGGGTTACTTGCTTTTCCAGGCCTGGCCAGTCATGATGCATTTGTGCCACCAGAGGGCACTAGAGGAACTCAGACTAGAACTACGACGCAGGTCTAGGCTCTGCCAGGGCTGGAATTTCACCTGTGATTTTTCAAACCTGCTCCCCTCCACACCCACCCCCTCCCCACCAAGTCTAATTGCCCAAGTTGGCCAGTCATTTTCCAGGGAGCATTTCCCAATAACCACAGCTACCTCATCACACACCTACTATGTGCCAGGCCCGTGCTCATGGTTTTCTGACCACTGCTAATCCTCCAGGCAATGTGTTGGGTCAGCTCACCCCTACCACAACCCACTTTACTGTCGAGGGAAACCAAGGCTCAGAGAACTTAAGTGACTTGCCCTCAACTGTGGAAAGAGAGAGATGGATGGGTCTGAATCTGCGTCAAAAGGCCTTAGCTCAGGGCGCCTGTGTGGCTCAGTGGGTTAAAGCCTCTGCCTTCGGCTCAGGTCATGATCCCAGGGTCCTGGGAT